GATGATACCACGTTTTTTTTGTTTGGGCAAAGACATAGAACAGATGTTAGAGAAAATGCAAGCAGAATTTGTGAAAATACAAGATTGGTTTAAACTTAAATTCTCATTAAACTTGGATAAAACTAATTATATGATAGTTACAAATAGACAAAGAACTGTTAATATTCCTTTTAGAGTTGATGGTGTGGAGATAAAGTCAGTGAGGTGAAGTTTTGGGGTGTTATTATTGTGAGAAAATGACATGGAAACCTCGTATAAATTATTTAAGAATAAAACTAGCTAAATCTACTGCATTGCTTTACAGAGGAACTTGTTTAATGAAAGCTCGTTATATAATGCATCATTTGTTCCACACTTGGTCTATTATGTTGAGGTATGGGGTAAAGCATGTAAGACTATACATATCCTGTTTTTGTTTTGCAAAAAAGGGCTATAAGAGTCATCACTCAAAAAAAAATATTTTATTCCTCTATTATTTTTTTTGTAATCTGAAATTATTGAAATTTTATGATTTGGTTGATTACAACATTCTGTTAGTTATGTATAAGGCTCACCAAAACACATTACCTTTAAAGACAGGAAAATTTTGTAAAAAAGAGAGAGCTGTTATAATCTTAAGGGGCCGGAGATGTTCATGAAACCTAAATTTAGAACGTTTGAAAGAACGGTGCACCTCAATCCAAAGAGTTAGATTGTGGAATGTTCTGGAAGATGATTTTAAAAGTGCCAAATCAGTGTACATGTTTAAAAGAAGGATAAAGGCTAGATTGTTAAAAATATATCCATAGAATTTGTTGTTCTAGAAAGATTTGATGTTTTGTTTTGTTAATTGACGATTATTATTGTTTGAATTTATACTTGAGGAAAAAGGGGCAGATGTAGGTTTTTTCTCCTCTGCTGGCTTTCATTTCATTTTATTTGTATGTTGTTTTATTGTACATAGAATTACTTCTGTTTTTTTAAAGAAATTAATAAAGTTTGAAATAAAATGAACAAAATTGTAGCTAAACATTAAGACCAGCAAAACAGTAGTCTAAAGTTAAAGCCAGTAAAAACAATGTGTCTGAGGGAATCACTGCAGCAAGGCTACTGAACCATTATAGTTGGTTTAGTTGTTTTAAACACTACCTTGTTTGGTCAACAACATTTTAATTGTGCTCCCCCTACACTAGTGAAGTGTAGGAGGTAGTGCCGAAACACTTTAAAGTGTTTGACTTGGTTGAGTGAGACTTTTTTAGTTGTTAGTCATTAAAAAGGTTTCAGACATCAGTCATCCAGTTTCTTTGAAAGAATAGCGTGGTAATTACGGTAATTTGTTCATATTGTTTCTTGAAAACATTTTGGCCTCCTTGATTTGATGACTGTGATGAAAGTAAGCACTTGTCGGCACCTTAGACAGAAACCCTGTGAATTATGTATCCAGACRGTTAATTTAGAAAATGTGCTGTTAAAAATCAAACAGCTATAGAAAATTAAATTTGTCTTTAAACATCTCTGTTGATCACATTTAGTTGATTAAGTRCAAGTAAGGTTATAACTTTTTGATTTTTTAAAAGAAACAGTACTTGCATGGATCACAAAAGCCTTGTAATTCTTCTACTTGATGGTAAAATGTTTGACATAACTCGTAATCTGAAGCATTTATTCAGTAAWTGTTGCATTTCATGACAGGGCACATTTAAAAGCTGTTTTTTTATGCCAGAGTTTTGACCTAAGATCATCTGATATTGAGAACAGATGGAGTTACCCAATTTACCATTTTTATACCAATACCCAATTTGGTCAAACCATAAAAATTTCTAACATTTCTGATTTCCTGTAACATTGTGAGATCTGTTAGCAGTCAGCCTATGTGATGAAAATGACTCTCAGCAACCACCACACTAAATTCAGTTCAATTTTATCGTAAAACTGTCTGGATAACGAGTTTTTCTGTCAGCTAAGATCATTTAGCTGAGGTGAAAATCCTTTGTTGTGTTAAGTTCAGAGAATAATGATTTATAGATGTACATCCACTCTTCTCCTTTGAAAGGTTTTGCTAAAATCTGTCTAATTTGATATTTTGCTAAAGGGCAGACAAGGTTGACTCAAACAATTAATGTCAAAGTTTTAAGGAAAGATAATGTTCAGAGRGCTTGTTGTAAAAGAACTCTTAGCTACTACAACAACAAATTTTAACTCAAAATCTGTAAAACGTGCTAAATTACAGTCATCTTAGTGTTTCCTAATGTTATCTGGCTGAGGTGGCCATGTTAAATCAGGCAGTTATTCAGTTGTCGGTGTAGATTCAGTCATCATTTCTAATGGTACGTTCACACCAAACACGTTTTGAGCTGCTCCAGTTTACATGCAAAGTCTATGGTGGACGCACCTCTTGGGGTCTTGCAGCGTGTTAAGTCTGTTTAGCGTGGCGCGCAAGGAACGCAGAAGGTGCATCAGCGCGTTTTCCGTGCATGTGGTGCGGCGAAAGCAGCCGACGCTAGAGTTCAAAAATCTGATCTTTCGCCGCTCGACGCGTCTTGACAACCAATCAGAGAGACTCATTTTTTCCACGTGACAGTTTCCT